TGAGTTCAAAGTTTAGGTGTGTGCTTTTAATGTGTGATGCTCACATTTTTTTCCATCCACTGTCTATTGTCATTAACTTTTTAATTTTCAACTTAATTGTTCTGAAGAATTTCATCCAAACTTGGCACAAAGCATTCTTCAATGGTAGGGATTCATTCAAGTTTGTTCAAATAAAGGGTTTGGTTCCATTTCAGTGGGAAATAAATGAGAAAAAGTGAAAGTAGAGTGTGATGATTTAAAAATCTTTTTGAGAACCACTTATTCAGAAAAAAGAAAAACCTAAGGGAATTAAAGCTTCCTTATAGATTCAGATCTGTTCATATCAAGGCCTTGAGGCTTTAACAGGTCAATAGAAGTCAGTCGAAGTTTTAGGTAGGAATATGGGGGGGGGGGGGGGGGGGGGGGGCTGGAATCTGCACCAGAACAGAAGGGTATACATGTACTACTACACAAAAATCTCCTGTTTTGAAGGTTCAAGTTTATTTAAGTCTTTGCACACTTGGGCCTACAGTTGGGCCACAATATGAGGTCAACTTTTTACATAGAAATATGTAGGAAAGAAAATCTTCAAAATTCTTCTCAATAACAAAGGGGCTTCATTTTCAAATCATGACCCTATGGGCTAGTGTGATTGCTAGAATTTTAGGTCAAAGTTGATCAACAGCAACATATAAAGAAAAACCTAAAATTTTCTCAGGAACAGGAGAACTACATTCAATCATACTACTGTATACATGGTTGTTCTAACCCAATTTCATTTTTTCCCCTATTACACTTACAAACATTTTTGATCCATTTTAAATTTGCTCAAACTTGATCAGATTCTTTGAGATAACTCTGTTGAATATGTCCTGTTTTGAATCCCACACACTAACAACTAAGGCAGAATGGGCAAAAATAAAATGGGGCAAAAATTTCAATGTACAGTAAAACTCAGTTATAGCAAAGTTCTGGGGACCTACAAATTTACCTTGCTATGTTTGTAATTCGTTATATCTGTATAACGAAATCCTTAAAGTATACATAGCGAATAGATTTTTCCATTCAAGTATTACTACCAAATGTATTTAGGGAAGTTTAAAATGCAAAATTTACCATGGAGTTCAAAAGTTTTCAGATGAATTGAGTTTCAAATATGAATACTTATAAAATTAATGTCAGTTCAATGTTTAAAATATTTAGATCTTTGAAATTTGCCATAAAAAATGTAAATTTCACTATTTTTAACTTATAGGGAATGCAAAATCAGTTCGCCATAACCATAAATTTGCTAAATCTGACTTCGTTATATCTGTAAAACTTAACAAGGAATGGTTAAGAATTTTGTAGGGAATTGCAAAAAATTCTGCAATATCGGTAAATTCACCAAATCCATGTTTGCACTGAATGAGTTTTACTGTATACAGTACTCAGTAGACATCCCCAAATTTGTGTTGACACGTAGATTCAGTTTGGTGGTCAGAATTTAGATCTGATGTCTTCTCAATCCAAACACAAGGGCTACAGTTTGTTTTATTGACATGCACATATCTTCATATAGTTTAGATTCAATTTTATTCAAATCAAGTTCACTTGGCTAGGTGGGACGGGTTCAGAGTTTTAGCTGTTCTGTCACACCTTACCACAAAGCTCTAATGGACTTAAAGCAGATGAAAAGATGATTGGGAGAACACAATTCCTTGGTAATGCTTTGATGAAAGTCATCCCCAGCCACTTTTCATAGCTCTTGTGATCAGTGTATAAAATGGATAAAAACTGTACGATTAACAGACATGTACTGTACAAGCAACAGTCAACTAATGGATTTCCGTAACAAATGAGTACCTTATAAAATAAATACAGTATGCAAAGCATGAGAAACTGACAAAATGGTCTTTGAACATTTAGACTATTGGTCTTGTGGTAGGTGTCCAGAGCATGACTGGTTTATCCATTGTGACCCAAAGGACATCAACAAAAGGAGATGTTCAAAACTCTCCACCAGATAAAACCTCTCAGAACATTGAATGTATTCACTGAATGAGAAATGGGCAAGAAACATGAGGGAATGAAGGGCCTCTTTTCTTCATTTCTTATTTGGAAGGGGGAGGGGGTGAAGGGGGGGGTAGAAATTAGCTTTATATCAAAATCTTGGAAAAACTTCTTTCTTATCCTGTAAAAACTCTTACCACAAACTGTATTTACGGCTCTAGCCAATGCATATCATTGTTTGATAAATTTTTCACATCCCATATCACACATTTGATAATTTCCATATCCTATACTTTGTATTTAATCAAATACAAGTCTGTGCATAATCCAGGCAGAATTCCAAATAATTTGATTTATTAAATCATTGAAATAACTAATGGAGAACATACTTTAAGAGTAGCATTTTTAATCCTTAATTTATTACTACTGAACTATTTTTAGCACTACATGCAACATTGATGTCATCGTCATGCAAAATAAAAAAGCTGACGTAAAATGAAAATAGGGTAAAAACCATTAAAAATAGTTAAAACCTTATTTAAAAAAAAGAATTTCCCATGGTTTGTGCTCTGTGATTGGATATGATTTTTATCCAACTTATCTCATTTTTTTTTATCCCTTATCCAAAAGCTAGATAGAATTTAACACACATCTTTGCTAAATTTTGTTTAGTTAGAAAACATTAATATTCCTTGAATGCAATGAAATATTCATCTGACCATTATAGGCTGTTAAATGTCACTTAGTTGGAAAGAAATAATTCTATGAAATTGTTGTGACAAAAAAAGGATTTGATTAAACTATATGTGATTGAATTTACTGCAATTTTATTTAACTATTAAAGAGGTAGCTACCGTATATAGAGAATTGTTGAATAGTCAATCATTTTGAAGAAATGTAAGTTTGCCTGTAGGACCACACAACCTACACATTTTTATTTTATATTATTGAATAATTATTTTAAAAAATTCATAGAAAGCAGATATGTTTTATAATTAGTGGTTTGAAATGACAATGTATATGTTTTTGTAAAATATTGCAGGGCAGATATTACTTCAGTGAAAATTAATTTCAAAGAAATAGTGATTGGAGGATGATAATTTGAAACAGTATTAACCTGAAACATTGGGGATTTTAAGCAAAATTACAGGAAAAGTCAATTTAGGAATGAATTAAAGTCCTAGTCATATATTACTGGAGAATAAATTTTCATGGGAATGTTAAATTAATGTGAATTGTTAACAATTTTGAATTTGATTATATGATAAGGTATTAAATGCATTCCTTATGATTTAATTTTACCCACAAGCAAAGGTGAATAGTGTTTCATTCACATTTTATTTAAACATTTTTTTAATTTTTAATCTGTCTGGAAAGTGACATTAGCACGTATGAAGTCATTGGCAATGACTTAAAACAAAGGTGTTAAGTTGACTGAATTAAGTGAAAGCAGATGTAATTGTTAGTTACTAAAATCAAAAATATAATTGCCAGTGCGGAGTCTATTAAAGGTCCCAGAAAGAAGAGGATTTTATATTGGATTGCAGAGTCGGGTGAAAGTAGCCCTTTAAGTAACTGGTGTGACAAGAGTTGTCCCACAGATACTTTAGTGGAAGAAATACATAAAAATAAAGTGTTCAATTAAATTATCTTGGCCTTTTAAAATATTAAGATAAGAAATTGAGTAATATACTGTAGATTTCAGTTTACTAAGGACAGATCATTCTAGTGTAGAAAATTGCCACAGGTCAGAACTCTTTAGTGTGCAGTGTAGAGAGGATTCTTAATATTAAGAAGTCTAGATGAATTTCAGATAATCTAACTTAATGTGTGATCTTGACCAAATTTCCAGCCAAACATCTTCCAGACCTGAAAATGAATAAATTTTTTTTTTTCAAATGACTTCTAGAATTAAAGTGTTGGCCAATTAAAATCTATTTGATATGAGAATAAATTAATTATGTACATAATCAGAGTCTTGTTAATTACTGTTTACTGAAACTGAAGGTGACTGCAACTTAATAAATGAAGTAAATATTTCATCAACTTTGAGAATAAGAACATCTGTTGGGCTGACTCATGTTTTTCCCTTGTTGACATTTAGGAAGAACACGAAAAAGGAATATTTGTGGTGGGCAGTGTGGTTCTTGAAATCCTATATTAGGGTACAAAGCAACATTCTTATCATCTGAACAAAGTAGAAACATGACTATTAATGAAAAAAAAATGATTGTATGTACATTTGCAATTGCTAGCTACACATTGCAATGGTATTTCAACCTACTTGCACTGATTCCATACAAAGCAGGTCAGTGTACCAGTATATTAGTAATTAAAACACACTTAAGTGAACATTGCTTATAATGAATTCACACTTACAGTGAAGTTATTTTCATTCCCTATCAAGGCTCAGTCAAACCTTACCGAATATCACTAACGGACATCAAACGGATGAAAAAAGGATGGCAGATTACAATTTGTTAGTACATGTAATACATTGATGAAAGTCATCCTTCACTGCTTTTGGAGACTTTTGCAATCAATGTATGAAATACAAGTCAAAATTTAGATTTTGAATATCTTGATTTTGATTTAACAAACATGTTTGAAAAGGTTTAAGTTTGTAAAATATTCAAACAATGAAAATAAGGTTTTATTTTATTAATTTTTTCAGAAGTTATACATGTACTTATTTGAAATTTTGACTTAAATATGTTCTCTGCTTATGGTCTTGAGGCCTGGCCGCACAATGAACATTATATTCGATCACCAAATAAGAAACAGACAGGAAACATACGCAAATGGAGATGAACAGATTGAAAAATATGACATCCTTTTACATCCCATTGCAGTATCCAGTAAGGTGTGACTGAGCCCCACAGTTTAATAAATTGACTTTTATTGGATAAAATGAATTATGTTAATTACATTGTAGAACAAATCTAAATTATTCTTCCCTGTCACAACACTATAGTCTTGTTTTTGTTTATAGGTAATGTGTATATTCTACTTTTTATGTGTAATTTTAGGATGTGGAAGTCACGGGGGATAAAGAGGATAGTAGGTCCCTCCACATTACAATCCACAGACCCGCCAGTTCTCAACATACAAGGCCTGTTCCCCTTCTTAATGCCAGGTTCATCTTTGATGATCACATCCGATGTATGGCAGCCAAGCAACGACTTACAAAAGGGCGACTGAAAGCTAGGCAACTCAAAATGCACATGATTGAGAAGTTGATTGATATTCCAGGAGATTCTACTAGTAGACAGAGGCCTGTTCCAGGTGAGGGTCTCATTTATTTCTTTTATTAGGTCACCTCATTAACTCAGGTTTTTTTTCCTTTGTTGTCATTTATGTGTTTACATTAACTCATGGAATTCTTTCCAAGAAGTACTGAATAAAAAGTGACTTGATAAGTTTTTTTGCCAATACAGGGTTCAGCATTAGGTTTTAAGACACTTTAATCCAAAGTAGTTAAAAGTCTTGCTTAGAATTCAGTAGTTCATAGACTACTAGATTTTAAGCCTTAAGACTTGAGAAAATCAGAGATGTTTGAGAATCTAAGTCATCTTTCCCCTCTCTCATACCCCACCCTAATCTAAAAAGATTTTAAAAATCAGATAAACTTGGAATGTATTTTCTTCATCTATATCAAGCTCTTGATTCTTATTGTTATTCTTCAGACTTTAATCCTCAAAAAAAATAAAAATAAAAATAAAATTACATGCAGATATATGTCTTATTAAATCATTAATTGGAATTCTTCATTTAACTATAACACATGAACAATTTATATACTCCATTGGGTTACTCTGACAAGGTAGTCAACAAGTCTTGAAGGGGTTTCACATTATTTTGCAACACCCAGACCCACTATGATCCTCTGACTTGCAGTACTTTCTTTAAATCTGATTTGAAATGTATTTATGTAATGCTTAAAACAAGGTTCTTTAACATCAAATCAAACCTTTTAAAAGAAACAGAATATGAGCAAAAAAAATGGAGGTTGCAACCTCTGAGAATTCAGAAGACAATCCTGAAAACATATACTCCATCAAAGAAAAGAAGGCACAATTTACAGAAATACTTAGCGGAATATGAAACTTATTATCCATGTTGTATAAAGTTGTCATTTGGACATTGCACAGTTGAGGGTTGATATTTCTGTATCTCATGTTTAAAGAAACGTGGTTACAACAAATCATTGAAACATCCATTTTTAAGCTTGGGAAAATATTGAACATTTTTTAACCTTCTTGCAGTCCCAGTGAAACAGATGTAATCACGATGGGCATTTTTTTGTGTGTTTTGAATTACGTGCTGTTTAACAAGAATGTGAAAGTTGATGAATGGAAACTTTGACGATTTTGTCATTTTCGTCAAAGTTTCCACTTTAACAGTATAAGCCCTACCTGGAGCAACCTTGAATGGATTATGCATCTTTAGGATGCACACCAGACTTGCTTCAGATGCTGGATCTGACCAACAGTTATTGAAGCAGGTTCATTCCCAAATGACTACAAGTCCTATGGTAACCAAACTTGCATGTGAATGAACAGATTACAGTTTTTAGTGCTGATCCATTCCCAAGTAATTATAAACGGTATTATGACTGAACAAACCTTGTCACCTGATGAATCTCTGAGGGAAGGGGAGTGTCCTGACCCAAATGTAAGTCATTGACCTTTTTTTTGGCATTATATGGCTATTTCAGGTAATAATGCAGTAACTTTATTCCAGTGTAGTTTCAAATGAGAGTGTCACTACTTGTGACATCAAGTATGCATAAATATATATGCATCATGTAGCTCCAGACAGACATATCATAAATCCTAGCTGTACACTTTAATTTCTTTTTAATATATATGATTATGAGATATCTTGATGATGTATTCATAAATAGCCGTGGTTTTATTTATCACTTACTGAATCACATTCACATTTTTCTTTTTAAAATCCCCCATTTCTCTATTAACCAAGTTTCCATGCCATTGACTGCACTTTAATACTCTCAGTTCATCTACAATCTTGATGATGGGATGAAATTCTTAATTCATATTGAAATACCTGTCAAATGATTGTCACTTAGAAGTGGCAGTGTATATTGATTGTTACCTGTTGACATTGAGCTGCACTGTAATATTTTTATGATCTTTTTGTCTGATAGGTATTTACTGACAGCTATACTTAAGATGTATTCAAGTTCAAATTTTCACATTTTAAGTTTCGATGTGAGGAAATTTTTTTAAAAAGCAGTTGAATGTTGGACAGAACAGCCATAAAAACTGTATACCTCTGTTTTCATACATTTCCAAATGACCTAACAAACCTTGAATGATAATCAAGCAAATTTCATAGAATTTGGCATGGTGCACCTTAGAGATCTAGGTCATAAGTAGATCATCAGGTCATAGAAGATAAATGGTGTATAAATGTTGTTTCTTATAGTTTCCTGATTAAGATTTAAGAAGAAAAATTACGTCCAACATTGAGGCATGTTGAAATATGTAAAAGAATTGAGATGAGCTGTAGTGGTTTCTTGATAATTATACATTCTTTAAAAAGCTCTCCAGTGTTTTTACTTTTTTCAACAATAACCATGGGTCCTTCCATGTGTTTGGAGAAGACATTAAAGCTATTGTTAATAATGTTATGTAGGAGTTTACATTTGGATTAAATTCTTTGTACTTTATATCAGAAATGTGTTTTGTTTTGTTTTTTTTTTTTGTTTTGTTTTTTTTTTTTGTTTTTGGGTTTTTTTTTGTTTTGTTTTGTTTTTTTAAATTTATGACAGGTGGGAGGATAAATAATACTGTAAAAAGATATGAACTTTGAAAACAAAATCACTAGTCAGTCGATCACACCATTTTTAGCTCACCTGTGCTGAAGGCTCAAGTGAGCTTTTCTGATCAAAATTTGTCCATTGTATGTCATCAGTGTTGGTATCGTCATCGTAAACTTTTCGCATTTTCATTTTCTTCTCAAGAACCACTTGGCCAGTTTCAAACAAACTTGCCACAAAGCATCCTTGGGAGAAGGGGATTCAAGTTTGTTCAAGTGAAGGACCATGCCCTCTTTCAAGGGGAGAACCCCAGGGGTAGGTTGGGGCCACAATAAGAGATGAATGGAATACATAAGGAAAATCTTTAAAAATCTTCTCAAGAATAGCAAAGCCGTGATTGGTCATATTTATATGGAAGCATCTTAAGGTAGTGTAGATTATATTTTGTTCAAATCATGACTTAATCTGGGGTAATCTGGCCTCAAAGTTTTACATGGGAATACTTAGGAAAAAATCTTTAAAAATCTTATTCTCAAGAATAGCAAAGCCATGATTGATCATATTAATACAGAAGCATCCTCAGGTACATATGTAGTGTGGTTCAAGTTTATTCAAATCACAGTGATTCATTTTGGTGTGCGTCCTGCGTAAATTACGCACAAATTTTGCCCAGGACGCATTATTTCAATAAATGTGCATCCCATTGGACACAATAAATTTATAGAAGGACATTTATTATTTTAAATTGTTTCCATATAATCTGATTCAAAACTTGACCGTCATTTCCACATGCTAAGCCATATGCATGAGTGATTATAACAGGTATAAGTTTGCCAACAACAGGTCAGATTTCACAATTCACTGTTAAATTGTATATAACAAGCAATTATCAGAAAATATTTAGAAGTAAGATAGCATAGTTCAATTATGTCTACTGTGGAGCATTTCTGAAGCGTATACGTATACCAGGGACCTATATATTATACTAACTATATAGGTCCCTGCGTGTACTAGGCTATACCATTGTATTTAAGATGTAATTTAACCTATGTATTTTAATTTTTTCCTTAGAAGCCAAGACATACATGTATAAAATATGATCATTTTTCTTTCTGACTATTTTTCATTTTTTTAAAAACTTTCTTTACTTTATTTAATAGAACAACTGATCTGCTTCTGTGCTTTTTATGACAAAGATCGTAGTTATGATCTAAAAATAGAAACAAGGTGCACAGTTGACAATATATTATTTTTATGCCACAAAATCATGTATTCTTACTTCCAATTCAATAGTCAAAGTATAGATCATTCACAGCTACAATAAAAAAATTGCACTTTCGTGCAGTATCCATTTATATTTCACCAGAATTTCCTCTGTAGTATTTAATATGCGGTACCCTAAGGCCTTGGTTTTGGACGCATTGATTTTGGCATGGGACTCATTATTTTCATTCAGAGGGGTCCTTTGGACCCATGATAACCATTTTCAAAATAAATCACTAATCATGACCACTGGGGTTAGGGTGGGGCACAACAGGGGATCAAATAAATACATGGGAATATATAGGAAATATCTTTAAAATCTTCTTCTCAAGAACAGCAAAGCCATAATTAGACATCATTATATACAGAAACATCCTCAGGTAGCGTAGATTCAAGTTTGTTCAAATCATGACCACTGGGGGTAGGGTGGAGCCACAACAGGGGATCAAAGTTATACATAGGAATATATAGGGATATATCTTTAAAAATATTCTCAAGAACAGCAAAGCCATGATTTGTCGTATTAAACAGAAGTATCATCAGGTAGTGTAGATTCAAGTTTGTTCAAATAATGACACCAAGAGCTAGGTTGGGGCCACAATCAAAAGTTACACTGTATACATGAGAATATATATGAAACTTCTCAGGAACAGCAAAGCCCTGATAAGTCACATTTATATGGATCCTCAGGTAGTGAGGATTCAAGTTTTATTGAAATCATGACCCCTGGGTTAGGGTCTGGCCACAATTGGCAAACAAAAGTTTACTTTGGACTATTTAGTAAACAATAAATTATAAAGCTATGAATAGTCATATTTATATGGAAGCATTATCAGGTAGTGTAGATTAAAATTTGTTTAACTCATGACCACTGGGAGTTGGGTGGGGCTACAATATGTAATCAAAATCTTACATAGGAACATAAAGGAGAAATAATGTGCAGATGGAGAACAGCAGTGCCATAGTAACTCCGGTGGTAATGTAGCCGATAGGCCTCTTGTTTTTATTTCCAGGCCATGTCCTAGGAAATTGGGGGGGGGGGGGTATAAGTTTGTTTCCACATCCATCTACCCTGCTTGTTTTTCATGCAATAAGAAGAGAAGGGTTGGGGTGAGATGTTCATATTAACCCAATAATTTTGTTTCTTAAGGAGCTTGGCTAGGATTGCTTCTGTTGTTAAAGGTTCAAAGTGTGTGGCTTAATTCTATTGTTAAAAATAAAAATGTATTTTTGATTT